GACATTGATGATGAGGTGGAAGTAGTAGATGCAGGTGCAGGTTGAAAAGCAGATGAAGAATTAACTAGAAGTTGATATTTATCAATAAATGAGACAGTATTCTCTTCATTGGCCGCTACATTATTCTCAGTAGGCATTGAATTATTGTCATCTGAACTAAAATTCAAAGACATCTGAACTAAAATTCTCAGTGGGGACCAGATTCAGATATCAATGAAACAGTGTTTACATGATTGACAAGCGCAATGTCCCCTAGGCATTGAATGATTGTCATCTAAACAGAAATTCAAAGACATTGACGATGGAGGCTGAGGACCAGATTGAGCATGTGAAATCAAAGGCAAAACAGGATTTGATGTTGCGTTGAGCAAATTGGGGAAGAATTGAACACATAATGGCAACATCACAGCATCTCTGTAAAAGGATTTCAGTTGCAAGTAAAATCGAAAACTGGAATCATCATCAATAACAACAGGAGGAGGGCAAACTGGCAACAAATACGAAAATCGAAAATCATATTGCGCACAATCGTCACCAATCGCTACATGAACAGCGTGAATTAGGTCTGCGAAAGAATTTTCAGAATTGATTTCCAACTCACAGTTACGTTTAGAATGAAAGGAGGAATCATCACTCCATTCGCCATCAACATTCAGGAAAATATGATATGAAGGAGGTTGAGCAGACATTGATTTGAGAGAGAAGAGTAGGATCGATTTGCAGAAAGACGAAGAAGAGAGCGCGTGGCGGAAAATTTAATCGGAGAAGAAGGTGAAATTTAGACGTAAATAAGAGAGGGTAAAATAGGGAGATTAGGTGCAAATTAGTTCTATTTTTGGAAAAAAAACAAGTTAGCAGAAATTAAAGCATTTTGGGCTGTCACACTGTTTGGGCCATAACTTTGGCTATGGGTGTCCGATTTTAGCAATCTACCCGTTTTTGGAAAGGTCTCGGCGAGACATACAAGGCCCGATTCATCAAAGACCCGCCAGAATCTATCTTCGATCCAAAATCATGCTTTTAGACCGTTAAAATTTTTTTTGTCCATATCTAGCTAATATTAATTCTGTTTAATTCATATAAAGGGGTAAACCCGAGTTGGATTTTTGGCAAGTGTGCCGAGAGAGTTAAACATAAGGGCTCTGCAAGTACTAGATGCAGCCTTGCCTTGAATCTGAAATTAAAGTCTAATTTACGTTTTCTCAATAACCATCCAGTCGAGTTCAAGGAGTTCAGGGATGGAGCTTATCCTATATCCTATCTTATCATATATCCTATTCTATCCTATATCATATCCGATCCTATACATCTCATATATATATATATATATATATATATATATATATATATATATATATATATATATATATATATATATATAGGGGCTGATTCAAGTGAGAATGCACCTTGGTGAAAGAAATAAGAATAAAATCTAGCCTTTGGATCGGATGCATCGTGCGGCTCAAATTGCATCGTGTACTCAGATTTTGAGATAGTGCATTTTCAAAGAATTATGATGCATTTCGACATGAACATTTTTAACACATTTTAGTGCACCTAATTTTGATGCAATCTTGACTCTTAGATCTCATAATCTAAAGTACCAGATTTATTATTATTTCTTTGGTTGAATTCCTTCTTCTTTTCTTCTGGGCAGAAATGGGTAGGGTTTCGAAGCAGAAGAAGAAGAAACAGCTCTCGCTGTCCGAAGGATCGCTCATTGAGATTTGCACGGGGGAGAAAGGCCTCACCGCCGTCTGGTTCGAGGCCGTCGTCCTCGACCCGAATCCCCCCCCGCCCTCGCACGCCAGATCCAGCTCCAAAAGGGCCTGCAGAGTCTACGTGGAGTACACCACCCTCCTCTCCGACGACGGCGAGAGCCCGCTGCGGGAGCTCGTCAATCTGGAGTACATCCGGCCCCGCCCTCCCACGGAGACTGTTGAGGGATTTGAGCTCTACGACCCCGTCGACGCGTTCTATAATGACGGCTGGTGGACCGGCGTTGTCACTCAACTTCTGGATTCTAACCGCTATGTTGTCACGTTCAGGAAACCTCCCGACGAGCTTGAATTCGGCTTGTCTGATTTGAGACTCCACCTTAGATGGGTCTACGGGAAGTGGGTTCCGCCCAAAAGGAAGAACACAACAGGATTCGGATTTAGTGTGGGGAAAGAGGTAGAAGTCACATTTGAAGGAGATGATTATATGGATGCCTGGTATCCTTCAAAAGTCGTTGAGGTCTGTGGTAATGGCTGTTTTATGGTGGACTGCATGAGGCCAAATACTGAAATCAAGGAGCAAATAAGAGCAGCTGTTTGTTCCAGTCATATCCGACCATGTCCTCCGCTCCTCCTCAAAAATAGTAAATGTTTTTGTTTGAATGACAAAGTAGAATCATTTTATGATTCTGGCTGGTGGTTTGGAGTCATAAAAGAAGTACTTCCTGACAGTAGGTATGTTGTCTTCTTCCAAAATAAGAAGACTGAGAGGGTGCTCAATCACTCCGAATTAAGACCTCACATGGTTTGGGAAGATGGAGAATGGCATACTTCTCAGGGTGAATCATTATCTCCGTATTGTACCCTTGAGGATGTGGAAAATTGCAATGGTCTGGATATCACCCAAAGTGCTGTTACACATGGTAGCGAAGATACTACTACAAATGAAACATATGGAGAGAAAATCTCCAGATCCTTGAATTCTGATGGAGAAATGAGTGAGCAGCCAATTCTTTGGTGGCCTTCAAATGCGTCAGTTTCACCAATAAAAAGGAAACGGCGTCTAGATCTATCAAAGGAAAATTTTTCTAGTGATTCATTGTCTCTTATCAAATGTAAGAAACAGGCTAATGGATGTAAAACTCCAACTGAGAAAAGCTCGTGTTTCATTTCCAGCCCAAATCAATCTTCCTTGGGGAATACAGCTCGGAAGATGCCCCATAAGGTTGATGAGCAAGGATCAGTATCAGGTCCACATCGAAAGAGAGGGAGGCCAAAGAAACGTACAGCCAAGCTACCACAATCTACAGCTCAAGGTAAGCTGAATAGAAAAAAAGTGAGATCATCAAAGACAGTCGTCAGAACTCCCGATGTACTAATTGAATCTCAAATATCAGGGTTTTCTCTTAATGCTGTTGAGGCTCATGGAAAGGAAAATGTGGAATCTGTACCTATGGAGAAGGCTGTTAGCGAAGGTCCCATACCTATGGAGAAGGCTGTTGGTGAAGGTCCCATACCTATGGAGAAGGCTGTTGGCGAAGGTCCCATACCTATGGAGAAGGC